CAACTAAGGCCAGTTCAATAATGATATTTACGCATCTGAAGAACTGTAAAAAATTGCTGAATTCATTCACGAGTCGATACCTATACAATTTGTTTACTTTATACATCATGCTTAGTATGTAACGCGTAAGAATCATATAGAATTGAAATATATCAATAACCGATAAATGTATTCACAATGCGATCAGAATGGAAGATAAAGAACATCTTTAGTCATAATTGTTAGGATTAGGCAAACTTAGCGGAAGTAAGATATTAGAAAATAATACGCGCGATAGTAATATAAAGGATGTGTAGTATAAATGAGAGAAAAAGGATTTGGCGAATGGTTTTTCATCGATCTCTGTACTGATAGTGAAAAGGGAATATAACGACGTTTTTATTTGATGATCTTAGGATTTGGATACATAGCGATGGATATATAGCGATGCGATATTGAAAAGGAAAACTTTTATTGTTTATAATTTGAAAGTTAGCCAAAAAGACTGTTTGTATAGAACGAATATTATATTATATACGGTAGAAATAATTTCTTATTATGGTTATTAAGAAGGATATTATCGCTATCGTAAATATTAATATTGCGACTATATTACTATTATTCCTATTACTACTATTAGTATTATTTAGCTATTTACTGTCCTATCACTTTGATAGCGAATAACGGTTCTAATAAAAAAGGACAAAAAGAAAAAAAAAATATTTGCATCAAACTTTAAAAAAGAAGAAACGAATCTTTGTTGCTCTAGATAAAAAAGAAGATAAAAAAGCTGTTCCTTTTTTCTTTCATTTTTACTTGAGATAAATTTGATCTCGAATAAAAAGGGAAATACTCCTGTAGCGATGTTGGAATTAACGATAATATTCAACTTTTCGACTGTGTTTATCATATGGTACTAAATTATTTTATATTTTATGTGGTATTTTTATTTTTTAATTGATTACACCAAATATGAAATTGGTAAAAAAATTAAATAAAAAAATGAGCAACAAAAAATACATGATATTCGATTGTAATTTTAACAGCTTACGAAACGATCGTTAGGGTTTATCAAATCGACTGTTTGTTGCTAGTTTGTGAGTATTACTAATTATTTCTTCTTCTATGTGAAAATAAAGATACGACATGTTTACAGGCGTATATTGTAATAATTACCATGAATGTTGTATATATATATATCAATTTTGGAAAAAAAAAATGAAAAAGTAACTATCTTAGTCTTCGTAAGTAGCAACTTATCGTTAATTATCTGTAAATCATGTAAACGAATCTACGAATATCATAACAAATAAAATCGATATTACTTTTATATCAATAGTACTATGACCTCGTTACATCTTTAATATTTAAAAGAAAATATAAACGTTATATGAAGTATTTTTTATTGATTCTGATCTTTTTTAAATTTTTTTTATAATGGCAACAATTTGCAATGTCATTCGCTATAATCTGTTACAATTTCAATATGTAATATTACATTCTTTAGCAAATTGTTCTATCTTATACAATAGTGCTTGTTTTTCTTTTAATGTTGCAAAGGTATATTCTACAGATGATAGACAAAGTTTTAGAAGTTGTTCTTGTTTCAAACCAAACGTTGAACCAGCTATTTTATATTCATGAGACAAAGACGTATGAAAAACACCTTTGTCATCAGTCTAAAAAAATAAAATGTTCTTCTCAGAACGATTATTTAGATAAATATTTACTCACACCAACTTTACTCACACCAAGACAAATAGGATGTCCAGCTTCAAATAAATATTTAAATTGATGAAATTCATAAGCAGATACTGTTTTACATTGAATATTCGAAGTTAAACACAATTCTACCTGAAAGATAAAAATCAGATATTCCTCGAAAAGATAATTACAAAATTTTCATAAATTTGTTACTCTTACCTACAGGAATCTTGGAATCAAGAAGTAAATTAAATAATTTGTTTGATCCTTGCAATGTAGGATGAATGCAAGTACAATGTCCTAATCTGTCTGGTTTAAATTTGAGGATATCTATTGTTTCTGTTTCATTTGGAACCTATATGAGATCAATCGAAAAGTATTTAATATATCTAGAAATTCAATGAGATTAAATTTAGTTTAATCTGATTTCTACCTCTGCACAATGAGCTGCAATTTTAAGTCCAGCCAGTCTAGCTTTTCTTAACAATTCTAAAAATGTACTTCCTGTCATTGGATCTCCACTAAGATCAAGTCCAACAATATATTGTGGATATTTTTCAAAAAAATCTATTGCTAATTCTATATTATCTTGAGCTGCTTTATATCCTTGTTTACGATTAATAGATATTAATAATTTTAACAATATACTTGGAAAATCAGTCTTACAATTCCTATAATTATAAAATCGACAATTTTTAATTGGCATTTAAGAACAAATAAATTTCAGTTATGTTCAGTTATTTAAATTATTTACTCAAATGCTTTTATAATTGCTTCTACATATTCTTGTTTTGTCATTTTCCCTTGAACAGCACGTGGTGTGCTTCTAAGCTCCAAATATATCACATTATCATTTTTGAATTCTTTAACTGTATCATAGGTAGAATGAAAAACTGCTTCTGGTGTTGTTGTTAATGAATGTGCTATATTAAATACTTTGAAACATCTATGGATCAATTATTACACATTTTCAGTATAAGAACAGTATATAATTTGGAATTGAGGATTTAAAATTGTATATTGTTATTCGTACTCGCCTAATGATGAGAAATTTTTTATACTCATGAGTGTATCTTCAGAGCTTTCTGAATTGGGATTTTGCATTTTATATAATTTCTTCAAAGTATCCATGCTTAGGGATCCATTTAAATGAGCGTGAAGTTCCTATTATACGCAAGAAGAAAATCTTTTAACCACAAGCACTAACCTATATATTTTAACTTTTCAATTACATACCAATTTTGGAAGAGCTTGACATAAATTTTCTAAGTCCATCATAAAAAATAAATCAATTTTTATCTTAAATACAAAAAATATATTTTTTATTTTAATGTGCTGTATATTTAAAAACTATTGATAATACTACAGAAACTGAAAATAATCGATTCCATTCGAAACATGAACTACATATTCTCTATATACACAACTTGTTCTGTAATTAGATTCATATTTTTCTAAAAAATTTTCAAAAAAAAATAGGATGGTGAAAAATATACATATACACACATATATTCAATTAAAATATATATTTACAATTAATATAATAATAATAGAAAAGTATAGAAATATAGACTTAAAATAGAATGCAAAATAGTTATATTAGTTATATAGTTATATTCTCAGGAAATACAGGTAAAATAATCTTAATTTTATAAATATTATATTAAACTATTATATTATTTAATATCTTTTGGAGTGCTGTGTCTTAAAAATATAAAGTACTAAAATATTGAGTAATACTTGATGTAACGATGTAAAATACTAGTTTTTAATATATAATTGACATTAGTTTTACAAATTTAATGTTTAAAAAATATACATTATAGGGTATCTTTTAATTTCTTTTAAATATTTCCTAACTTTTTTATAATATCTAATAATTATTTATTATTCTTTCATAACAAACAAAATACAAAAATTAAATGTGAAATATTAAAATTAAATTGAATTATATGTATACAAATTTTTCAGGAATGTTTACATTCTAATTTTTTATGATCTTTTAATTATGACTCCACATACAAGCACATCAAATATATAAGTTTTGCAATTCGACATGGGAGAAGCTTTTTCAGAATAAATTTTAATTTCAAAATTTGGCATCAAATAATTCGTATTCGTATTTATATGATAGATAACACCGCAGCAAAGTATAGGCAAGTATAACATTAGTGAAGCAAAAAACTCTTATATTTTAAGATTGAATACCATGCCTAGGAACTGTTCATAGTGAATTGTAATAACGCCGTCCAGATCTGTGTCTAATTGCCTGAAGGCAGAAGTTAATGTCTAAAACAAAATTTATTCATTTTTATAAAACATAAATGTAAAATATAATCTGTAACAAAATATTATGCATACAGAGGCTTACATATAAAACTACGCAACACTGAATAAAGTCATCAAAATATATAGTACCACGACCAGCTCTGTCATATTTGCGTATAAGAGTATCTATAATTTGATCTGATAATCTGTATCCAAAATTTGTTAGAGCTGTTTTTAATTCATTTCTATCAATATTTCCACTGTTATCCCGATCAAATGACCGAAAGCAATTTTCCCAATCTGTTACATACTTCCATAAAGCTCCAAATTCTTCAAAACTAACTGTTCCCTTTTGGTTTTTATCAAACATACCTGAAGAATCAGGATCAGTTTTGTCAATGTCAAACATACCTGTATGAATGCAATGAAATACACTAAAAACATATTAAATATGATAAAAATGTAAATCTACTCAGGAACTATGGGATGCATTGTTAACTGTATTATACATTATAATAATATAGCATTTTAAATTATTTGTAGATTAAATTAATATAATCAAATAATTACCAATCATTAAACGCACTGTTTCTGGATTAAATGGTGTCCAAGTCCCATTTGAAAGCGCTTGTTGCAACTCATCTGCGGTAATTGCACCAGATCTATCTTTATCAACTCTATAATATTCAAGTAAAAAACATTAGCCTTATATACCTGTTATTTTCTATTTATTATCAAAATTTTATTCATTCTATAAGACTATATATGAAAAATAATACATTTATGTCTTTTATGTACTAAATTAAAATTTTTTAAATTGAGAATTTTTAGACAAGTAATTTAAACATATTTGTAACTATCTTAGAAAACTTTTTGAGATATTTAAATAATTCAACTGAGTCCTCATGTATGTAATATACATAATTGATAATTTATATTATGTCATACCTACATAATTAACGGCAAAATTAATTAAATATTTACCATGTTGCAATTTTTATGATACAACATATACAAAATTATAGAGGTTATGTAGAATAAAATTCATACAAATTTTAAAATACCTTTGAAAAACATCCCAGAGGAATTCTCGACTAGGCATGGGCGATACAAAAGACATTTTTTAATTAACGCTTCTCCAAAATATAAGATTAAATATAATTATATTTAACACTTTTTTTATTATTATACTTCGCAATTGACTGTGATGAGTAATGTATGTGATAATATTAATTTGCGTTTACACAAACTTGCAAAAACACGTCATAAATACGTCACACCACTGATAATTCTGACGTGTTATTACTGGAAATACAAACACTATTACCACCTAGCGACAAGATGGTGATATTAATTGAAAATTGCATGCATCATCACAGACAAAATACAGAATAGATTTGACATTCAGTGCTTTTTCATATACCATGTTATACCTTGTATTAATAAACAACAAATCATTAAAAACAGTTAGAATATTTAGAATGTTACAAGACGAGAATAAAGAAAATCGGTAATTTTTGAAATGACATCTTGGAAAAATGAAGGAAATTAAAATGTCATGTATACTATCGCACATACTACTTTCAACATAGTCTAACTTGCAGACCACATCGCCTGTACCAGAATATCTGTATCGAATATTAAATAGAGGACTCAACCTAAATAGAATTTGATTTTACATATTAATTATATTTAAATAACATTACTGTTTTAATTATTTACTACACTTGAATTAATATTAAATGTTTACACACGCTAATTTTACTTTGTTATATTAATTTCACAAAAGATTGAGTGTAATTTTTACCTGATAATGTTTATTTGCTAGTGTTAATAATATTGATTGTAATATTTTTTGAATAATGTTTTTCTTTTGTTGTATTTAAACTATCGCGAAAAACTATTTGATAATATCGATTATATATATTGATTATTGAATACCATTATGCATGCATTTAATACATTATGTAAGTATAATAAAAAAACTCTTATTTTATTTTTTAAATTTTAGTCTAACACAAATAACATGTCTTAAATTTAACTCTTAGTTTTAAGTTTCATTAATTTAATAAATTATTTGATTCTGTAGTGCTTAATGGAGTAAATGTGTAATTTTTATATTTATTTTTTTTGCTTAAAATATACAAAAAAAGAAATTAGATGTCCGTAAATTATGAGAGATATTCCCCTGCAAATGAAAATTTGATTGATTAGTGGCGAAATTATATATTGTTTCTTTTGTAAAATAGTATTTATTGATAATATTGATTACATATTATAAAACATATAATAAATATAAGAACGAGATAATATATCTTGTTCAACTTGATTAAATAAACCTAAAATATCATATAGCTCTCTTTCATTTTTTAAGAACACTTATGACTTTTTTGTATGATTGTTTTTGTCTGATTTTGTACGATAAACAAAATAATAATTATTAACAATAAAAGTTATGATTTTTCACATCGAAGAACTTTCCTTATTAAAAAAAACTATTTCATGATTACTCTATTAGATATACCTAATAATATTTTTTATAATGGGAATTTTAAATATAAGATTGGTTTATACATTTTGAATTCTGTTCATACACATCTCACATTCATATTATGCTTGTTTAAATCTTTTTATTTTCCATGCTCCAATTTTGTATTTATACCAAATGAAAAATATATCTTTAGCCATTTGTAACCAGCTCCAAAAGGGGACTATTTTCGATCCTTCAATTTCTGTCCAATTTACAGGAATCTCAGTAATAGGAATGTTTAAAATTTTTGCAATATATAACATCTCTACATCAAATGCCCAACGCTCAACATGTAAGGCTTGGAATACAGCTCTTGCAGATTCACGTGTTATAAGTTTAAAACCACACTGTGTATCTCTGATATCTCTTACGCCCCAAAACCAAACTAGGAAATGGAATCCATGCATTAAAAATAATCGGAAAAAAGTTCTTTTTGCAGTTTCTTCTTTTCCCAAGTGAGCTCTGGATCCACATACTATTGCATGAGAAGAACTTATTTCATTCGGTTTATCTATATAATCAACTGAAAAAATTGTTTTTCACTACAAAAATTCAATAGAGTTTATTTTATATCATGATTTGAAAAATAACTTACATCCTAAAATATTTTTCAAACTATCATCTAACTTTTCCAAATCTTTAAATTTAGTAGCACCATCTGCATCTGCAAATAATATTACACTTCCTCTCGCACTCAATATACCCTTAAAAAAAAGTAATTACAATAACAAATAATTAAAATAATATTAATATATTAACATACTAACATTAATTATCAAATTAAATGTTACATTATTATACTACTAACTAGTCTTACTGCACCACCTTTTCCTCTGTTTTTAATCAGATTTAATACTCTAATGTTATCATATTTTAGTGCATACATATGAGCAATATTCACAGTTTTATCTGAACTTCCATCACTAACTATAATCAGTTCATAAGTATGTCCATTTTTTGAACGCTTTTCCAAATATTCCAAGCATTCATCTAACATTACTGGCACTATAAATTAAATATACAAACATACTGTTTTCAAAAATATTCAATTAATCTATCAATATTTACATCTTTGTTCTTCATTATATGCTGGTATTACAACACTTAAATGTATACTCCATTTTTCATATAAAGATGGAAAAGCTTCTGTAGTTTTTGTTTTTGGATTGAAAAAATATTTTTCTTTCTCATCTCGCCATATTTCTGGATATGGTTTTGTTATTATAAATAATATTATAGAAAACTGAAATCAGAGAAATAATTGTAATTATGATGTAATGATATCTTAATAAAAAAGATATTTAATTAGAAGATATTAACATACTTATAAAATTGCCACGTTTATACAAATTTAAATAACAGATAAATAACAATATAACCTAAAAACGTACCACAATTATACATATTATTGCAAATAAAATAGTGTAAAGAAGTAAATAATATAATTGTATCATTTCAATGTTACTGTATTTTCAAATATTAACAAAAAATATTTTATACAACACGTATTGTTTCATAGTTTATTTTCTTGTACCGCCACTCTGTTTCTGAAGTTACGATTAATTTTCAACATTTAACAGTTGGCTGCACTAAATATGAATTTTATTTCATTGACGGAAAATTTTTTTACTTAAAATAAAAAAGATAGTTATAAAGAAAATTTAATCTTTAAAATAAATATAAAAATTCAAACAATTTCACATTTTTTAAAAAAATGTTTAATTTACGAATAAATTGTTAATTGAACAATCAAATTTTTAATAAGCAAATGATAAGTAACTGTACTGATAAGTAATTAATAACGAACGTTTGTACGTATAGAGGGAGTTCTATATGTTGAAACTTGTATTATGTTTAAAATAAAATTTAAATTGTTAGAAAAAAATAAAGTGATCTTTAATCAATATTCATGGTTTTATTAATTTTTTTCGCTCGTATATTACTATTCATTTAACGCAATTCATGTATGCTTATTACAAAATAATTATAAAACTTATTTAATATGTATATATATATATATATATACACACACATATAAAACAGTACATAAATTCAGACATGAATTCATATTATAATGGATTCTCATAAAAACAATAAAATTAATATTTCGGACGTCCAAAACAAAGATGAAGATACGCATGATACATATTTAATAAATATTGACAATACAACAGAAAAAATACAGAAGAGAAAAGTAACTATAACTGTAGACGAAGATGATCCATGTCTTAAAAGAGATGGAGATGGAAAAAGACGTGCAAAGTCTGTATTTCCTGGTGAAGATCCAAGGTTTGTTTTACTATAAATACTCTTCTGTCAATAGGTCAGAAATTAAAATTAATCTTTTTGATATTCTGAATAAAAATGATTTTCAATATTGTTATTTAGATTTCAACAACAAAACCAAACATTACGTTGTTGGGTAATGTATCATGATTTCTATCGTTGTGAACGTATTTTGGGAGAGGGATCAGATGTATGTAATTGGTTTAAACAAGTTTTCACATCTATATGTCCAAATGATTGGATTCGTCGATGGGATGAACTTAGAGTTGAAGGCAAATTAATTTAACACAAATATAATATTAAAGGAAAATTATCTGGGAACAAATATAAAAATCAGGAAAAATAGTAATTTCCTTTTCTGTGAGAGGGGATAAATCTAATTTTGAAAGTAAATAAACTCGTATTAGAAAAAAATATTAATCTTTTATTATACAGGTACAAGACTTTTATGAGGTAACTTATAGAAATATGAAATGAATATTTGTTGCAATGCCCGACGTTGGCCTGTCATATGGCTGTCTTCAACAATCGGTCAATAATTTCTTCTTTTTTTTTATATTAATCACACTAATTACTTGTAGTTTATATACGACACTTTTTACATATGTAAAAAATAAACACTTGCAGCAAATCTTCTTTAAACTTTCGTTAGAATAGAAGCTTGAAATAGCACAGTATTAAAAATTTTGCTTTTTTTAAAAAAATTTATGATCCTTACGTAATAAAATGGCTACTTTAATTTGTGCACAAACTCCTGCCCTGACGAAGATAACTTACCATCTTCAGATGTTATTTCTGCTAACAGCATTCTTCCATCTTTATAGGATTTTATTTCTTCAAAAATAGTAGTATCTGCAATTATGAAAGTAATAATGCTTATAATAAAAAATGTTCCACATTAATACCGATCATAAAAAAGTACGATCACTTTCAATAAAAGTGATTTTTATTTCTTAATGTCCCCTGAATTTTATCATTAGAGATTAAAACCACCTTACATATAACATAACAATGCCATTTTGGTAGCTAAATGCTACTTGGTTTGGCTCTCTGTTTGATGAATAAATTGACAATCTCCATCATTGCATGTTCCCATCAGTTCGTATGGACAAAGGATGCCATTGGGATTCGTGTTCCTGGTTAAGAATGATAGAAACAACAAAAAAAAATACTCAAAATTTTTGTACAATATAATTAGAAAAACTGTATATTATTCATAAGTAAATATTTAATACTATTGAATACTATTGAAATGTTTAGAGAGCGAAAACCCACCTTGATACTTTAAAATGTGTTAATATTGATTCATAAGGTAAAAGTGTCTTCTTCGTTGGAAATTCGTCTTCAAGTCTTGTAAAATTTTTCTTGCCACTGTCAGAGTCTAAAGTTGTAGGATTTATTATGTTATTTTCTGGCAGCTTATTATTCGTTGAATTAAGCATACCAGTAGTAGAAACGAGAACATCATTTAAATGTGTTCGTACAGTTTTTTCAATTTCATTTGATTTTGAAGATAATTTATCTTCATTAAAAATAGTTGCACTTTCTCTCAATAAAGATTCTCTTTGAGAAGTTTCTGTACTGGTAGTAGACACAGTCTCTTCTTCCAGTGTTGATAAATCATATATGTCAGAAATATCAATAGATGGTACTTTTTTTTGAGAAAGTTCCCGCGTATGATTAGCTACTTCTTTCAGTCTATTATCTAAAAGTTGTGCTCCAGCTTCAGGTATCCTAGAAAATATCACGAAGTAATCAAACATATTTATATTTGTTTGCAATGATTTAAAGATTATTTGTTTATAATAATTTTATTAATATATTACTTGTATTCTTTTCCTACAATTCTATTTCCCAAGGTCGAACAAATAGTTGCAAGTTTAAAACATTCTTGTCGACCTGCGTTGATCTTTCCATGTGCTTTTACTACTTTTGGACCTATATTATTAATACGATTACGCTGCATTCTTAATTTTTCTTCAGCAATTTTGAGTTGTTCCCTGAGCTTTTTTACTTCAGCAGCTAAATTTGTTTGTAGATCTCTTTCCATATGCCATTGACGAAGGTTACTAGACATGTCTGCTAAATCATCTAGGATTGTGTAGCTATTTTATCAATATAAAAACAAATTATTATATAAAAATACGTAAAAAATGCATAGATATTGACGAATTTATATTGAAAGTTTTTTTACCGTTTCATAACTAGTTCTTGTTCTGTATCTGTTAAACGTTTTTCTTGTTCTGCACGGGAAAGATTAAGCAGTGTATTTAACTCCACCTTGACATCTTTTTTAATTTCTTCCCAATTCTCTTCTATACTTTTTATATCTTTCCATGATTTATTGTTTTTTAACGATAAAAAATGACTATCATGTTCATTTTCTGTATTTAAAGTCAAGGATGTATTTTCTTGACATTGTGAAAGATGTAGCGTAGATTCAGATGTATCAATGCTTTCTTTGCTTCTTTGATGTCCTGTTAATGCAATAGTCGATGCATCTGAATCCACTGTACTGTTATCAAATGGAATATTATTCATAATTTCTTTTTCAGGATGTGAAAATTGATTTATATCATTATTATACATTTTTTTATTATCACTATCTTTATTTCCAGAAATATTTTCATTGTAATTAATTACTGCTTTGTTGTTTAAGGACACTTTATCATTTATTGTTACCACTCGTTTGTTTGTATCACTTTTTACTTGTACTTGAACATATTTCTCATTTACTTCATCTGTAGATAAAATTTTTAAGGGCGAAATTTTCGTTTTTGTTTGAATTTTTCGCATTATGTTTGTTGATTGTAGATTATTCGCAACTGTTTTATTTCCAATGTTATTTGGATTACTTTCAATGGATGCACAAATATTATTTGTCCTTGTTAATGTCCTTGACTGATTTAGAGTTGAGTGTTCTTGTTTATCAACATTATATTTGCTGATACATGACTGAATGTTGCTTGTTGATATAGTAGTATTTTTTATTGAGTCTACTAAATTTTTAGAACAATTTTCTTTATTTAATTGCTGTATATTTATACTTTGACTTTTTGAAGGCATCATATGATGTACTTTTGTATATAACTCTTTATTTGGCAATGTGGATTTTGAAAATACTTCCATATTTTTATTCTTTATTGTTTTATGTAGCTTCAGTTTCTCGCGTTCTAATATTTGTTGTTTTAATCGACGATATTCCTCTTGTTGAGATGCAGGTAAATGACGAACAGCCTATAAAAATATTCAAATAATTAAATATTTCATGTATAATAAAAATTTGCTATAGTATTCTTACCAGTGGTGTGTACAGATTGGATGAATTTGGTTTTCCTGGTTTTGTTGTTAATATTGTATCTTTTTTAGGTATTTGTGATATTAAAGTTGGTCTTGCAGCTGCTGCCAATGATTCTTGTTTTTTCCGTGCTGCACGTAAAAATTGATCTAAATTTTTTTCAAATTCTGCTGTAGAGTTTATTGTTGATTGATGTTTTTCCATTGTGACAGCATGTGCTGAAGTGGCAGCTATATTTTTTTGTCGCTCAAATTCAGAATCACTTTCTGTATCAGACTCTAAATTTATAACAATCCTCTGTATATCAGACAATACTTTTGTATTAGTAGACCATTTACTGTCATTAGATTTCACTGTAGATTGTACTTTTTCTGCAATCTTTTGCTTGTTATAAAGTGTAGCTTTCTGTAAATTTAATCTCTTTTGAATCATTGTATTTTGATATTTTTTTGCATTATTTACAACTTTTGTACTTGCAGGAATTGAAATTCTTTTTCTTTGTGGACCTTTTGTCATAGGAATTGTTTTTTTTCTACCAGTTGTTGTGTTTAAAGTTTTAATATTTTCAACAGATATATTTTCTTGTGCAACGTCATTTACTTTTCTTCCAGCATTTGACTGATTTTTATCATTTTCAGAACTATCCATGTGAGAAGTTGATAAATTATTAACTGCAGGTAATACAGTGTTTGACTCAGTTTGATTTACAAATACCTGATTTGATTCAGTAGATGTACTTATTGTTGTAATTGTAATTGAATCAGAACAATCGTTAGTAGCCATCTTTGCTCGTTTTGGCAAAGAAGCTAGTAAAATTGCTCTTAATGCTTCTTCATCTTCATCAAGACTTTGTCTTCTATCTTCTGTATTTTTTCTCTCTTTTAATGTATCATTAGATGAATTATCATTTCTTTGCATTTTTTCCTCATTAGTTTGTAGAGAAATTTCATTTCTTTCATCATCAATGTTTTTAGAGGCTTCTGATACATTGATACAATCTGTCTTATCCATTTGTATCAGAATTTCATTTTGATTATTTTTATCTCTACAAAGAACTTGATTTGATTTATGTATTTGTTTATTTACAGTATTTATATCATCATTTATGTTATTATGTTTTTTCGCAATTAATACGTTAGTTTTCTTTTTCGAAACTTTTTTAAGCAGTTTCTTTTTCTTTTGTATTGAAGTTTTAATATCATCAGTTTTATTTGAACTTGTAGTTATATTATTTTGTGTTAGACACAGAGATATTGCATTAGGATTGCATTCTATTAGCGAAGTATCAGATGATTTGTCAATAGATGTTTCATTAGTTAAATCTTCGTGTAAAAAATCATGAAATGCAGTTGGTATAGCTAAAACAGAATGAGGCTTTTGTGGGAAGGACATTAATTTTAGTGGTTTAAAAGAAGTATTTATCTTTGTACTTGTTTTTTCATTAAGAACAACTGGTTGCATTTCTGCACTTTTAAATGTAGGTTCTTGCTGTAATGTATTCTTCCTAGTTCGTAATGGTAGCTGCAATTGTTTGTTTGTTTTCAAAATTGGTGCTGGGACAAGTGTTCTATTAATTAATGTTGGTATTTTATTTATGTCTTTGGTAACATCTGGTAATCCTTTCATATAAAGCGGTTCTAACATTTTGTCTTTAACATTATTTGATAAATCATTTGGAATGCATTCTGAAGATTCAGGAAGATCATCAATTGTTATCATTGAACTACTTGGTGATATTGATTCCACGAGAGAATTTGTAGCAGATCCAACAATTGGATCGACTGAAAGAGTTTCTGCTTTATTTAATTGTTCATCTTCAATTATATTGCTTATTTGTTTTGTAGTTTGTGAATGTTGGTTTGTTGATACATTATTATATTGTTCATATGTATCAGAATTATATGATTCAAGAGAAACTAAGGAAGAATTTGAGGTAGTCAGTGGACCAAGAGTTTGTGGAAGAGCATGTAATAAGTCAGGATCATATATAGGAGTATCAGTTGGAGAATAAGGCATTTCTTGATTTGAATTAATATCCAAAGCTTCAGAAGTATTATTACTTCTAACAGCAGTACATGTATCTTCATAAGAATGTACATTTAAATGTGAATTATGTACTTTCACAAAATCTGATTTAGAAATTTCTTGGATATCAGTTGATAAATATTGTACATTTGCATTTGTAGCACATAATGGATTTTGTGGTGATTCATAATATACAATATTTGGCAAATAACTTTGATTTTTAATAATTTTCTCTTGATAAGACTTTTTATCATCCTGACTAGATATTATAGATGTATTAAAATTTGGACTATTATTTGTATTATTAAGACTAATGAATGATACATCAGATGGTTGAATACCTAACAGTTCTGTATCTATAGGTATATTGGCAATAATTTTATCTGTTGGAGAATATGGTAATTTTTCTTTTTCCCTTTCAACATCTGTATCTAATTCCATATCTTCTGTGTGACTATTTTCATTCATAGGAGGTGGAGTATGAGGTGGCGATGCAATATTTAACAATTCTTCTCCAGGTATAGGGATATTATCTAAAAAGCTTTGAGTAAATGGACTTTCACTGCGAAAGGTACCAGATTTCTTGGATTTTGCTGATTTTATACCCTTTTGAATTCTATTCTGATGTTTTTTTAATACAGCAGAACGAAGTGCAATCATTCGTAATTCTAAATCTTCTTCATCTTGATCATCATTTATGTTTACACTCATATTTTTTGCAATGTCACTCTTTGGTTGATCATTTTGTTTATTTGATTTATTTTGTTTTGTCTCAAGGGCTTTTTGTCTTAATAATGCTAAATCTTCATCATCATCTGCATCATTAGATTCTTTTTTAGTTATGTGTATTGTAGATTTTTCTTTTGAAGAATTTGTAAAATCCATATTATTGTCCGAAACACCTTTCATCATATTTGTTAGCTTCTCTTTTAATGAAGATGCATGATCCTTATTTTTATTTACAGTTTCTTCTAATAAATGAGTTCCTATTGAACCTAGTTGTCTGACTTTTTTTAATAATTTATGTGTATTGACATAGCTATGAGATGACATTAATTCAGCATATGATGTTTTCTTAGACATTGTCTTTGTTGACGATCTATATGGTGATCTCTTAGGAGATTTAAGTCTTCTTGGGGATCTCCTTATCGTTGGTGATCTAATACGATTGATTGGAGATTTTGATCTTCTAAAAGGAGATCTTGATTTCATAAGAGATCTGTGTCTTTTGGGTGGTGATCTTGTAATTATTCTTGATCTACTACTTCCATGAATAGGACTCACTTCTCTATGGTGTGATTTAGAATTATTTTTCGTTATATCGTGTTTTATTGTACTAACACATTCTTTCACAGATATGTCCACATTAGATGAGGAAACTTGATTACTCAATATTAATGGAGATGCATGATTTCTTTTCTTTTTTTTCTTTTTCTTCCCTCTACTTTTTCCAGGGGAATGTATGATAAATTTGTTAGAATTATTTGCAAGACCAACAATTTCCATATCACTGTCACTTGAAATAGGTACAAGATCATCATTTTTTTCTTGAAGTGTAGATGTATGTTTTACTCCAATGCATCCTGACTCTTTTATTTGATGACAGTTTTCTTTTCCCTGGACTGCGTCTTGTAGAATAAGGTCAACTTCTACTTGATTAGAACATGATATGTCGAGAATAATAATACATTGAATGTGAAGAAGTTTGATACATTATCAAGAAGAAACATATTAGATGAATTATATTTAAAAAATATTAAAAATATACATGAATCAAAAATATAAATCCTTTTAAATCTTGTCTTTTTAACAACAAAAAGAAAGTAAAGAGATATGAGAATTATTTGCACTTTCTACATTTACTGTTTGTATTATTCATATTTTTATATTAGAAACAGATAATATCAGATCTATAAGCTAATATCAATAATAATTTATTGCCGACGACTATAAGATTGCAAATATATATAAAAAAAAAAGCTGTATTATTTAATTTACCTCTTCTATTAGAACCATTGGAAGGATAAAATTTGGCAGGGATTGTACACCACGTTGTATTGTGTTGAGTCGATAGACAATTTGAACAATGAGAAATTTTAGTGCCGTATCCATAATTTAAATGTCCTTCCTCGGAAGAACTTACATCTTCCAAGGATATTTCACCTTCTTCTTTCTCATCTAACACACCAATTGTTTCCGTACACTCACTCGATAAATCGCTAGCCATTCTTGAACTTACCCTTGAGCCACGAATAATTAATCGCGTCCATCCGTTAAAATAAAAAAAAAAAAAA